AAAGTTGCAGTTCATCAATAGAGATAACTGTTAACTCAAGACCATTGATACATTTTTTTTTTTTTTACATTGGGATGTCCCAGATTCTTCAAAAGATCGGCCAGGACACAATGATTACCCATGAGGTGTCTGCAGAGACACCTGGCAACGTGGTGGGACCCAGAGACTTCGTGAGCGTACGCTGTGCCAAACGTCGAGGCTCCACCTGCTTCCTGGCTGGGATGTCCACTCAGTACCCCAAAATGCCTGAGCAGAGAGGCGTAGTCAGGTAAGTTGAGAAGAATCACCAGTGGGGGAAATAATTTACTTTTTGTGTGATATGTGCATGCATGTGTGTATGAGAACTGAATGACTTTAGAGCAGTCTGACTGTTTGTTTGCAGTGGATCGCTACATCTAATGTAATTTAAACTGACACTGTATATTAATCATTGCATTCTCAGAGCGGAGAACGGGCCTACCTGTATAGTTATGAAGCCCTGTGCTGAAGACCCGAATAAGACCAAGTTTACCTGGTTACTAAGTATAGATCTAAAGGTATAAGTGACTGCCATGTCTGCATTTTGGTTTTCACAGTTATTACATTGATTTTCAGTGATGTATAGTGAAACTGTATAAAATGTTATCTAATCTAACACTGGCTCTGTCATTTGCAGGGCTGGATCCCAAAGACAATCATAAACAAAGTGCTCTCTCAGACGCAGGTGGACTTTGCCAACCACCTCAGGCAAAGGATGGCTAATAATGTTTCCATGGAGATGGCTCATGCCTGCTGACACAAGACGCCTCTTGAGCTTTGGCACAGTGCGCCAATGAAAAATCATGTAAATCTGCTTATAAATAATGAAAAGCTAAGAAAATCCAGACAGTGTTGAAAAAAATCAGATGAAGATTGTGCTTTTTTGAGATCTGAAACCAAATGTGTGTTTTTCTCACCTCCAGCAGTAGAAAATCTACAATGAGATGTAACATTATTGACAGGAAACTGACACACCATGTGCTTTGGTTGTTTCTGACCAGGGACGGGCCAAGAAATTTTGTAGCCCTAGGCTTTTAGCATCTAAGGCTCCTATTTGGTCCTTTTAAAACAAATAAAGATAACTTTATGATGCTTCTTAGATGACAAAAATGACAACTTAAGGCTGTTTAAATCTCTCAGTCACAAAAAGTTTTCAAAGGAAAACAACAAAAAAAAGTCATCGTACATGTTTGCCCAGCACCATGCTGCACAAAAGTCTGGTCCTCAGATGTAGATTAATATAAACAAGAAGCTAAAACTAGCAACTGAACTCAAAAGACTCCTAAACATAACAGATATGGAACTGTGTCTGTTTTTGAAAATGTCAGCACTGTCGAGCATCTTAAATGCAGTCAGAATCAGATTTAAGACAATTTTTGGTCGAGGCAATTTTAAGGAAGGAGCATCCGCATTTGATCTGTTTTCATCATTTTTACTCTTGAAATCAGTCTTGTCTCCTGACGTTTTCTCTCATTCGGCTATCTTTAGCAACTGGTTGGTACATTTTGGCACCCTGCTTTCATGTTTGTAAGATGCTGGGTATATTTTGGCATCACACAGCCAAAATTGCAGGAAAAGCTGAGGCGGGCCGACAACATTTTTGAACAAATTCAGGCTGTTGAAAGTATTTATTTATCTGTTTAATTCTGATTATAGTAATAACCCCATAGCTATTGCCTTTAAACATAGAAATAACATTATACTTCTCACTGAGGGCCCAAGCTGGTGATCCTGTGCTGCAGTCTCTATATTCCTACAAAGTTAAGACGCCTTGTTTGGGACACATTAATCCACATCAGTCGGCTCCACTTTGGCAGAAACACCGAGTGCAGCAACAAATTGTACATTGTTTCATTTTGATAACACTCCAGTTATTGTCCCTGTCCCTGTTGTGAAATTGCACTTTTATTTCACTGTTTTATTTATTGATATTGCGCAGATGCATTGCATTACAGTGACTGCCAAGTGAATAAATCACTGCGGTGAGATTGATATTTATGTTTTTATGCTTTTATTATGCTGTCGGAAAAGCAGAGAAGCAGTTTGGAGAATGATTAGTCTGTTCTTTGTTGGTGCATGAGAGCTTAAATAAAATCCTCATAAACATTTCAGTGGTCATTTGCTTAACTATAAAAATAAAGGCTTCTTAGTCCTTTTTTTTTTTTTTTTTTTGTCCTCACTCATGTTTGGTCATATAAAAATAACAGAAGTTGTAGCCCGAGAGGAAAAAAAGAGAACACAACAGAAATAATGAAAGTCTTATTGGAAACTACACGGCAATTGCGCAAGTTTTTTTTCCTCTTTGACAGGGAGGAGATGGATGAATTTAAAAGTTCTTTCTAAAACCATGACAAATGTAGTTCATAAAAAATGTCTTCCTGTTCCTTGATGGGTTTTCAAACTGACGGTTTGCCAGAATGAACAGGTGTTTGGCCGTTCAGATGTGTGAGGAGTCCAGCAACTCGCAGTTTGGTGTGAGCCAGCAGCACATTCCCCGAGATCAAGTAACAGCGGATTTCATCCCAAACAGGAAATCTGTCCTCCATTATTGCCAGTTGTGTAACATTTTGCCTCTTTTGTATAGTTTCATTCCATCCAAAATGTTTTGTAACAGCTCATTTTCTTGAATGTAGCACACACCGCAAGGGTCAGGATTAGTTGTGATGAAGAATGGAGGTCTCACTCTCACAGTCTCACAGGACTAAGTTAGCTGCAAGATATTCACCTGCACTACTTCAGAATTATGTACTTATGTCACAGCACTGAGGCCTGAGGGAAGTTTCTAAGGTGAAATACAAAGTGAGCTGACTGCAGCCTGGGCACTGAGGTACTCATTTTTCACTTTTCACATAAACCTTTTGAGAACCTCGAGACAAATGCCGTTTGGTCGGTGGTGACTCCTGTGTGCTTTAAAAGGCATACATTTCAGCTCCAAGTGCTGCCTTGTGTAATGCAAAGCAACTTTTTTTTTTTTTTTCCTTGAAAGAATGTTCCACAAGGTAATAATTGACATCTGCTTGAAATCTCTCAAAATCTGAACATAAGCAGATGTGACATGAGTTGTAGCCATTTGTAGATCTTTTTCCATTCTTTGCGTAATGAGAGTAGAGGAGAAAATCTGGGGTAGGAAAGGGAAAATTGTCCAGTGCAGATAAGTTGTGTAATAAGAGCAGAAAGACAAAACAAGCTATCTGGCAGCCATTTCGAATCCTTGGCACTGATGACAACCTTGATTAATTTATTTTTTCTTTTTTTCCCTCTCCTTTTTTTTTTTTGTTTTTTTGCACCCAATATCCATCTGTTCATCCTTTACTGAAATTCAGCTCCAAACATCAGCTTTTTCTGTCAGCAGAGAGAAAATAGTACACTCTAAAAAATAATGATTGGACTCTGGGAGGGGGGGTGGCTCAGTTTGCATTAGTTTTTTTATACAAATGATTTAACTAACTAACTAATTAAATTACTTTAAACCAACAAGTTAGGGGAATTAGCTATTTTGAGTCAGCTGACCATCTGAGATTGTTCAGATAGCATGTTAAGATAGAGGAGAGGACTTCAAATCCTAAAAGCAAGGTGAAGAAAAATTAACAACATTATTGTTAACACAACCCATCAAAATAAGTTTTGCAACTTAAAATGTTTAAACCAGTAATTTTGCTTCTTGCAACCATGGTTTTAATTATGTAGTGGGAACAAGGTTTCTTGAACTACATTTTAGAGTGTAGTCACATAACTATATTTTATAACCGTATTCATATTATAACCGTATTCATATATGGGATATGAGTCATAGCTGGCTTCATCAGTGTGTTCAACAATATTTGTCATGTGAGATTTGACAAAACAGTAAGTGATCAACGATACATTCTAATGCCCTGTTAAAATAACAGTTTGTTTAGGTTTTCCCTAACTTCTGGAAATTTAGTCCATATGTGATGACTGTCTAACCACCACTTTAGCAGCAGAAAAATAAAAATGTCCTGACATTTGTGATGGAGCTCAGGATTCAACCTGACCACAATGTAACATGATTTATCTGCAGCTGATAAACTGTGTGTGACAGCTCACCTGTCTGAAGGGAAGAAAGTTCACAGAGTGGCCTGCTGTTAGATCCAGATTCTGTCTCCATGTTGGAGATCATTTATAATTTCAAGTATTTAATTGAGTTACTGGCACTGCTGTTCCACCTGTGCAAATGCATGCAACTCTCCTGTTTTGGAAACACTGTCTGAGGCTGCAGGTTTTTAATAAACTCAGAGGAAAAACACCCACAAACAACTGGACACAACAAACTGAACTTCAGCTGCTGTTAAATTGTTTTCATTATTGCCGAGTATCATTCATCTCAGCTGCTAGTGTCTGTTTTTTATCACTGCAAAGTTGCCTTTTTTAGTTTTTGGCCTAATACAGCAAAGTGAAAGAACTGTGTTGTGATTTTGGCACACAAACTGTGTCTCTCATTCTCTGATATGTGTTTGAACCAATATTAGTGCCAAATTACTTCACACAAGTTAAAGAATATTGAGTGTACGTGTCAATCTGTTAATGACTGCATCATTATGTTGTGACTGCATGCTGTTCAGACTTATCAGGTGTTGAAAGTGAAATATTACTGGGTCCCACATAGTAGGATCTCTCTTTATGGTCTCTTTAGGGAAAAGTGGGCAGGGTGGTCATTCATACATGAAGCAGACATGGTCAGATTAATGTAAAGCACTTATGAAACACCAATCACTAAATGCTCTCTAAAGGCCTTAAGCCAAAAGGAAAAAAAAATCACTCCAAAATTCATAATTTGCTCTAGAGAAAAGCTTGAACCCCTTACCTATATTTCTAGAAAAGAAGAGTGCTGACTGCAGGTGTGGATATAGATCCCAGGCTCTCTGCTCTCAGTGTCTGTACCTGTGTGGAGAGAAAGCAATGACGTAATGAAGCTAGTGCCGGGCAGGAAACCACAATTCCCAAGATGCACTTGAAATTACCGTGGCCACTGGACGGGGGAAGGGAAGCTGAGATTGGAGGGAGAAACAATCAGAAACTGAGGTACTTTTAAAAATGCTTCGTATCGCATAATATTGTCGGACAGCTCGCAGCGGGCAGCGTTTCCAGCACATTTAACGGACACCGAGGACAAAAGCGGATTTTTTGGAGTGTTGCTGTCGGCTTTGGAGGCAGACTCCATCCCCCCCGTTACAGTTCAATAGAGCTACAGCTAGCCCCGTTAGTTAGCCTGGCAGCTGGCTTTTCTTGTGTTAGCCAACGTAACTAGGTCTCGACTGCTTAACTGCACGTTGCGTTCATGACATGAAGTCGTTTGGGTGTTTGCCGCAAATTCTGGCCGCCTTGCATGCAATACACGCCAGACGCTGCATTGTGGGCTTGAGCTGAAGCTGTAGCTGCGTCTTTGTGCCTGCGGGGTTGCTAGCTGACTTACTGCTAGCTCGTCGGTTGCTACAGATAATGCTAGCTCGCTGCTACTGTAGCTGTCAAAGCGGCGGTACGTTACTGTGGGCTACTGTCATGTCACCAAGCTGAAGTTGTTCGATAGTTTTTGTCATTTTTTATTTAATTTATTTATTTATTTTACCACGGCTCTGTGTCCGTATTCTTGCGGCGCTTCACTGTATTTGAACTTTAAGTGATTTATACAGCCGTAGAAGAAGTATGCAGTTGAGTCGCCCGAGTAAAAGTAGCGACGTGACGCTGTAACTGTACTCCATTACAAGGAAAAGTCGCTCGTGGAAAATTCTAGGTTAATTAGAATATGAAAAGTACTGCACTTGTGTAAATGTATTTAAATGTTTTACTCATATTAATATGGCCTTGTCTACAAAAAAAAATCAGACGAAAGACAATAATGCAACCTGGGGCAACCTCTTGGGCAGTTCAGTTAATAGACCTTTTTCACAGCAGACATGTTGGCTTATCTTAACAGGAAAAGCTCAACTGACAACATCAACGAGGACCGCAATCCATTTATGATAGCTGCTGCCTCCTGGTACTGTGAATGCATGAGTTGCTGGGACACTTGATTTAACTGAGCTTAACGTATTTTCACCTTTACTTCTCCTTAAGAAAAAATCTGTGAAACTCATATTTTGCTTCACATTTCTCATGTTTTATGTGTCACCATGTAGGTAATAGATGATTTGTGTGTTGCCCATATTCAGATACTCAGTAACTTTTTCTCATGTAATCATTGGTTTACTTTTCAGATAGTTTGTGCATATGACAGCACCTCCTCAGGACTCCTGCCATACAAGAACTCTCTCCATGATCCACATCTGTAGGGACACCTGCAGTTATTACTTTGGACGTGTACTGCTGTTTCACGTGAGGCTGAAGACGTAACAGCGTCGGTGCAAGTAGACCCTGCTTTACTTGGTCTCTCAAGGTGCATACTGGATTTGTCGTCAGTGCCAAAGTGATGAAGTGTCTTGGACAGGGAGAGCCCAGCCCTGAAAAGCAATGTCATCATTCAGCTTCTGTGTACCTCTGGTGGGGTTGAGGAGTGGGGCAGATCTGTGGAGGAGAGGAGGGAGGCAGGCTTCCAGGAAACTTGTGTATTGATGGACAACCATTTCCTCCATTCAGCTTTTGTAGACTGATACCTGCACATTCCTCCACACTTAACGGTTAATAAAACCAGACTGCCATCGATAATCTCACAACTGTTGCTGTTATGAAGAGAATATGATGTGCACGACATGGATTTCTTCTGCCACTGACAGTTTTGGGAAATCAAGCTGCTGATCGTGGACACTGAGTTTACCATATATATGAGAAGAACATGAAAAAAGCATAGATACTCGCGGTCACTACAGAAACCATGGTGGTCCTTGCATCAGCTCCTCAGCCCACCTCAGTTCATGACTTCAGAAGCCTTTAGAGGCCAAGATCAGGAACACGCTCAACAGCCAACACGTTCACATGCAATGGAAGAAGACATTGACGTCACATCCCACATTGAGGTAACATTATTTCACCTGATTTAATCTCATTCCAGTGTTTGGGTTTACCGTAATCTTAACAGCGTGAAAACAGAAAGCAACACCTGCCATGTTGGTCAACAAAACAGAAGCCGGTGCTGTCTGACTGTTGCTGCCATGACTTTGTCACCCAGGGGAGAGTAATTGCTCCCTTCCTGCTTTGCACTATTGTTTAATGTTAAACAATTAGGATCTCAGTTTGTTTAAGCGGTTCTGTCACATGTGTTTAACTTAAGGCCTAAGGTCAACCGTTCTCTCTCTGCTTTAGCTGTAATCTCTGATTTGGCTTGCTTGGCATGTTGCTGTGGTGGCAGCTGACAGGGCATTTCCCTTATCCCCAACTTGGTTTCTAGCCATAACATTACCTCCAGCTCCCTGGCCTCTATCCTTGTGTATTGCTTCATTTGCAAACAGTTGGATAAGTCTATCCCCTTCCTCTCTGAATGCAGTGTACCTGCACAGAGACAGTTCTCCTCAATGGAAGTGTGCCCTTAAACTACATTCTGCCAGCGTAGGAGGCAACTTGATAAATTAGGAGAAGTGAAGTGTTTGCAAGAGGGCAACTTGTAAAGCATCTCTGAGGTTTAATTAGGCCTGTAATACTTAATATATTTCACAAATTTGGATGTAACATAAATGCAGTGATGCATGTAGTGATAATGAATTACCCGTCTTGAAAGCTGCACTATTTATACGTTGTCTATGTGTCTGAAGCATCTGTTCTGTGTTGCTGCCTTCCTGTAAGGGTCTGAATGGTTTGTCCCGCGAATGTAAGCCATTAGAAGAGATCACCAATGGACACTCCAACCATAAGCCTGTGAGTAAAGCTTAAAAACACTTCTCATTGAGACATTGTAATTAGTTTTTACTGGCAAGTCTTTATTTATTTAGAAATTTCCCTACCTTTTGTCTTTGTAGGTCATGAACGGAGTGGTTATTGGTCATAATGTCAAAGACCACACCAACGGCAGTGCGCCACTCAGATCACTGCCGGTAATTAAGTCTTATTCCTAGTACCTCTCTATAAACATGGCCCTCTTCGAATGTAATGCAATCTTTTTTTTTTTTTTTAATGTTCAGATTTCAGCACTGAAGCAGAATGGTCTTCTGCAGACCCTGGCAGCTGGAGGGGACCAGCCCAAGCCTGCAGGTAACACACACAATCTCTCTTTTGTCTCACATCCTCTTCCCACAGGAATTTGTGTGTATCCTAGACACCAAGCAGCAGTTGCAGGTTAAACCTCACTCAGGAGTGAAGGTTGCCTGCTTGGAGCAAATGCAAGGTCTCAGAGGTGCTCTGGAGGGATGCAGGTCTTAGACAGGAATAATTCATGACTGAGAATGAAGTAGATGGATGTCACCATTGCAACATAGTTCATCAATGAGTAGAAACTCGTCCTGTTTGACTGCTACATTTCAATTTCTGTGTTAGAGCATATAAAACTCACATTTGACATTTTCCTTAACAGAGGAAAAGGAAAATGTGGAGTTGGAAAAGGCCAGGCAGGAGTGGGACGCTCTTGAGAACATCCAACCAGGTAAGATGCATTTTGCTGTCTCACCTGTTGGCATCAGATGAAACTGACTTAGTTGATTTATTTATTTCATATAAGTTAATTTTACAAAAGAATAATTGCTATATAATCCACCCACCAGCTCTTACTGAGGACTCAAACCCAACCCCGCTCATCCCTTTCAATGAAGCCTTGCAGTACTTTCAGACCACAGACCTTGGGGACTTGCTGGTAAGGAATGCACCTACAAAACAGCAAATTAAAACAGCCAAGGGAAAATCAGAGAAAGTGAAAATTTGAAATAAAGCAGTGTGTCACTTGGCAGTGTGGTAAATAAAAAATTTACAGTATGAAAGTGAGAGAGAAAACATCCTTTGTCTGCGGTGACTCCACCAACTGGAAAATTGCCTCCACACAAGTCAACTTTAATAAGAAACGAGCTCTTTACTTGTGGATTTGCTAAAGATATTTATTGATAGCTCTAAGGACAATGTTAAAGAGGTACTTGGTTTTTGTCACCGCCCCCACCTGTAGAAGAACATCCAGCCAACCATTCGCAGGACCGGCCTGGCCGCAATCACACACTTCCTCTTTGGTCCTCCACGGCTGCACAGGGAACTCCTGGAAGAGAGGGATCTCGTCTTTGCCATTGCACAGTGTGAGTGTGTGTTTGGTGGGTCTGTTTGTGTAATCATCCCGCCAGGTGTAAAACTCATGAGGGTTTCTAATAAACCACTGAGTTCCTCTTTTGCAGATTTGTGTGTGTCTGTTTTTTTTTTTTTATAGGCCCTGTGGACAACAGCCAAACAGTCCACATGCGTGTCCTCCAGACCATTTATAAGAGGCTGATTGGCAGCAGGCTGGACTGTCCTCGCTTTGGTGCCCACTGGGAAAACATTGGCTTTCAGGGTAAGACACCTACACACTCATTTGCTGTACACACAGTGTTTATATTCATTTAATCTTGCTAATGAATTACTGCTTTTTAAATTCAAAATGTAAGAGCTTTTGATTTTTAAGAAATTGTATATGTCATTCTACCGTCTAAAGAAAGGCACTAATGAGTTTAAGTAAATGGTTCCCGAAACTGTTGACAGCATGCACACTAAAGAAGGAAACACTGTGACATTATGTGCTGCTGCTTTTTCTCCATGTTGGTATTTTTTCTGTCCTGCAGGTACAGACCCAGCCACTGACCTACGTGGCACTGGTTTTCTGGGACTGATGCATACTCTGTACTTTGTCATGGACCCAGAGACTCTTCCATTGGCTAGAGACATCTACAAGTTATCACAACACCCCACACAGGTATCACAAGATCATTAAATCCACTACTTTAAGCCAGTTTGCTCATGTCAGAGTCAGAAAATGTCCATGTGCTTCCATGTGCTTGATTTGCTTTTTCATCTATGCTCTTATTGGGCATCTAATTTCACTAATCCTTCAGAGGGACATTTAAACTCCTAACCCAGTCGTGCTGCTTCGTGGCTGACCCTGACCTTTGTCCTCCCTACAGAGGAAACTAGAGAGAAAAAGAGAATTTCCCCTCTGGGATCAATAAAGTCTGCTACAAGACGAGCATGTTTCAGGGCTTGCTCTTTCAGAAATTGTTCCTTGTGGACCTAAGTTTCCTCGTGTATTTTCTCTGGTTTAGAACTTTCCATTCAGTGTGATGTCAATCAACATGACCCGCATCGCTCTGCAAGTACTCAGAGAGGAGGCCTTGTCCAAGTGAGTTTTTACTTTACAGCAACTTCGTGAGTACATGGGGCTTGTGGTCTTTTTTCGACACAGTAGCTTTACACCAGCGGTGCTAACTGCCTTTGTTCATACCAGGGAGTGCAATCGTCGTCAGCAAGTGGTTGGTGTGCTGAATGAGTTCTACGTTGCCACGTATCTGCACCTGTACCAACTGTGGAAGACCCAGCAGAAGACCATTGCTGACTCTGGCTTTGTACTAAAAGGTAAAAAAAAAAAAAAAAGCTTTGTTTGTTGCTGCACTAAGCACTTTAGAGTCAAGCTTGTTCATTAATTTGTAATGAGAAGATGTGCCAACGTGATGCTCCAGACAGCAACCAGTTATCTTAGCGCAAAGACTGAAACTAAGCCAAACAGCTTGAGTCTCCCTCAAGGTGGCAAAATGTGACTAAAGAGCATTAAAACTACAGGTTCAAGTCCAGCCAAGAAAGACCCCGTTGCTTGGCCCCTTTAAAATCACAGGCTAATTTTTGCATTTATTATTTTTCTGCATTAAACAGATCATATATAATGTGTTGTTGAGCTTTCGAGGGGCTGAAAGGCCAGTTTTTGTGCTAAGCTAAGCTGCTGGTATTGCTGTCATATTTAACTGGCAGATATATGAGTGGTATCAATCGTCTAATCTAACTTTCAGCAAGCAAGCAAAAAGGTGTATTTACCAAAATGTCAAACTCTTCCTTTAAAACACGAGTCACAGGTCTATGCATTGAACTCAACGCTCAGACTGCAGAAACGCCACAAACACAGATTGTCATCCCGGCATGAGTCCCACAATTTCTGTGTTTTCTCTCCGTCAGAAGTGGAGCTGTTTGCCAAAAAGAACCCCAAGCAGATGCTGCGCCGACTAGAGGTCTTCCTGAAAGAGAGGCGGGCAGGTGGAATCCCTCGTGGGACGTCGCCAGACCCTCAGGCCCAACAGCCCTCTCCCAGCCTGGGGGAGCGAGGGGCCAGAGCTGGGACGGGGCAGGGAAGCAAGGGAAAAGAGATGCACTTCACAGGAGTGTGTGATCTACCGCCAGACATGGAGGGAGAGGCCAGACTTATCTAAGCTAGACTTTGTGTGAGTGATTATGTGTGAGTGTGAGCGAGAGCAATTCTGTCTGTGAGTATATCTATTACTGTATGTATGTGCGAGTGGCTTACTCAGAGCTAGAAGAAGAGCCCCACCAGACCCTGATCTAGGACCTGCTATCTGAACCTATTCAAACCCTTCCACTCCTTCCACTGATGCTGGGGTGCTGCACTTTGATCAGATTAAGCTTGGGGAACTTTCAGAGTTATATTTGATTTTGTTATTAATTTATTTTGAAACAGGGAACAGTCAAATATATTAATACCAGAAACACAAGATGTCACAAAAACAAAAGAAAGTGAATATTTGCACTTTTCTGTGGATTTAGTAGCCAAATCAATAGCTGCCAAATTCTTGTGGTTAAACCCTACCTGTCTAAAAGTCCAAAATATACACATTTGTGTTCCCAGGATCTCTACGCCAGGGTGTGTTGGCATTGCAGAGTGGCTTTCTTTAAAGGCTTGGCATTGGCTCTCGCTCCGAGATAATGCCCCATCATGTGCATTTCAACTGAAGGGCAGCATTGCCAGGCATATTGTTTAATGCTCTGTTAACTTTATGGTGATAAAAGGGAAAATGAACGAGCCCTGCTATAAAGCAAACAGCAGCAACTTTTCTATCAGAATGAGTGGGGAGACGGAGATGGAAAACTCAGAGAGGTGCTTTGCAGAATGGAGCAGAAATTGTTAATAGAAATTGTTATCAAAGAAATTCACAGTAGGCTTTAAACGCAGCTTGCTTTGAAGGTCTGATCACTTTGCATTCTCTGTTAAAGTGTGAATGAAAGATGTGAACAATATTCAAGAATGGACACTCCAGATGTGTGGAGGTGTAGCCAGTTGTTGGCGTACAACTTGTCTCTGTTGCCAGAGGTCTGATAGACTAGGTCCAGAGCTCCCAATAAACATGGGGGAATATATTTTAAATAATTTAAAAAATAACTATTTTAGTCCTTCTTAAGGGTCAACTGTCCCTTTAATCATAACTTTACAGTTATGTATAAAAGCACTTCAGAATTTTGGTATCAAACTAACGGCTTAGTGACAGTGGGAAGGATTTTAACACTGTTAAAATTCCACTAGACCGTCCGAAATTCTTCTGACTCTCAACTTTTCATGGTTAAAGCAAAAGAGACACTTCATAACAGAGTCTGTGTGCTCGGCTTGGTCCCAGCTGAAGCCGAAGGTCTGGTATGAGCTTTCTCTACATTCCGTTATAAAGCATGTGATTGTAATTTTTTTTGACCAGTTAAAAATTTATTCCAGTGTGTGTGAGTGGGCGTGTGTGTGGTAAAACAAACGAGCTGATATTGATGAAGGGTGCCTCTCCTAGGAGATGTAGGAGATGTATGGTACAGTATGCAATCCCAGCTCTTACTCTATGATAATCAAAACGCTAGTGCTGTGTGATGATAGAAATCGTTTCTAACTTCAGGGTTTGTGCACTTGTGCAAGCGAATGTGTGCGTGTATGTATGTGTTTCATATGACAGGAACTGACTACAGATGGGGTGCTTTCCTCTGCACACAATAAGCCAGCTTTACTAAGTACTTGATCCATCAAGCTGCAAAGACGGTACTTTTGTCATTTTAAAAATGGTACATAACATTTGTGAGGACGATATTTATCCTAAGACAAAAAAAACAAAACAACAACAACACATTCTTTGGTTTGCTTTTTTAAAAGCCAGATGTTGGTTCAGCTGGTTTCAGCGGCTCTGTGGCCTGGAATGGGTAGAGCTCCTCAGCAAAGCTGGTTCATGCTTTGTGCTAATGTGAAACCGTCTCCCATCGTTGTAGTCTTAATCTGTAGCATGTTCAGGTAGCACTAGTACTGTAGCATCCTATAGCCTCCTCCTCTTCGTAAAGCTTGTTGATGTCATGTCTCAGTTACAGTCTGTAGTGTCAATGAGTGCGCAAACTGTTACTACTATAGCACATACATTTCATATTTTTATTAAGCCTCCTCGAGTAGATACACATTTAGGTGGCACGGTGTATGCTTTGGAGAGACGTGGGATCGGCTTGACATGTTATTGAGCTCAAACTTGTCTTCTAAGAAGGTGATAGTAAATTCGGTGCCTACATCCAGTGGAGCCATGTGGGGTAGAGTGCTGGTTTGTCCTCTCTTCCTTATTTTTGTCTTTCTTTTGAGCCATCATGCCACAGTAGACTTCCTCCATTCACGTAACGCAGTAAGCAGAGTTGACGTTACCCCTGAAACATGCCGGCCTAATGGAGTATATACAAAATTTCGATGTCAGCATCTACTCACACAATTGTACTTTGCCATCTCCGTTCTCCGCCGTAATAATTCAAACTGAGCTGATGTAGTTTTGCCAATTGTTTGCGAGTGTTTTGATTGATCAGGAAAATTTGCACTGTTGTAGATATTTGATAGTATGTGTGACGTATGCAAGAGGAAACAGGCCATCTTCAATAGCCATATTGTAATGTTCATTATCACCCACCTCATGAAACAGGCTTTGTGAAGTCCCCTCCTCGCTCTAAAAAAAAAAAAGAAAAAGAAAAAAAATATTGCACCACCGATATGATCTCATATTTAGTTTTTATGAAATTTTAAACTGAGGAGCAGTACAGTGTATGTAAATCAGGAAGTTTGTATATAGAGAATTAATGATTGTAACTGTATGATTGTCTGTAGGGCATTATACTGAAACACATTGCTTACCTCAAGACTTGAGACAAATCTCTCCTTTCTCTCTCCTGATGTTTGTTTGGCCTCTCTCTCAGACTCTTATTTTTTTATGTTTCCTTTACCTTGGCCTTCTCTCATACCAATTGGACAAGTTGTATGATGTATATTCACCACCTGAAGCACTACTTAATAGCAAACTAACACAAAGCTGGTCAGTGTTGTGTATTCTATTTAAAAGACACATTTATAGACACTATATAGGCCCACACATGCTCTGATGCACATCTGCAGATTTAGAAGAAAAAAAAAAATCCTTTTTCAAAACAATCTACAATTGGCTGATGTTTACCATGTCGAAATAAGCTGGTTTTCTTGTGGCTTCAGTGATAGTACAGTATACTTTTGCTGTGATTAAGTGTTTGATGTCAGGAAAAACACTCAGAAACAATCCTGTCTTTACAGCTTCGGTCACAAACCAACTGTTAAATATATGATTGTAAAGATATAGGCTTGACTTGCAGTCATAATACTGTGTATGCTTTGACCTTGGTATATATTCAGTATCCAAACAAGGCCTAATTTATCCTCTCATATTACCAAAAGTTATATTTTCAGCAGTTGTAATAGATCATGTTCTTATGCGTTGATCATCGTTTGGAGTCTCCTCAGTTGAGAAACCAGAACCAAGAGAAAAAAAGAAAAGAAAAAAAAAAAAAACACGGGTTCTTGCAGGATGTCGGATGCTCTGAGAGGTGTGGTCTGAAGTTCTGCTTCCTACAGCAGCAGCTTGACAAATACAATCACTTCTCTCAATATCCTGCGCTTTATATGAAGGTGTTTTACTGTTGCCGTCGTCGTCATGTCCCTCAGAGCATTTTATGACTGTACCTTGATTGTAGAAGCCCTATTTTATACTGAGAGTTATTTCAAAATACAGTATGTGCTGTTGTACATTAAATGTATTGTTGGAGAAAGCTAAATAAATGCTGTTTAAAAACTACATGTCTCTGAAGAACCATTGAGTCCCTTTTGTCTTTCTGTGGAATGAATATACAAAAGCACATCAATCAAAGTATTACTCTGGAACTCTTTGACACTTGCGCTTTAAGAAGACATGCAAAATGTTTTGCCAAATATCTGTGGCCTATTTGGTTTCCAACGTCTTCTGAACTTTCTCAGCACCATTTGGATTTGTTTTTCAGGGATGCAAGTCAACTTCAATACGTTTTAATTCATACAAGCACAAAAAAGCAGCATCAAACAAAAATGAAACCAAACTTTTACCTGAATAAACTATATCTAAAGTCAGTTTAAAAAAAAAAAATCTCTTATTTTGTGCAGGGTTCTATTATGCTCTTAAAAACTGTCATGATATCAGATTTTTACAACAGGACTGTCGTGACCAAAAGAATTCCCAATAACGATAAAATTGCGATATCTATAGATAGTTCAGAAAAAATACTGTCACTCAATTTCATATTTATCCTTTGCTTATTGTGTATTTTATCACTTTTTTGTCAAATGAATAACATCCAATATAATACAGGTCTAGGGAAGTGAAAAGAGTCTGTAATCATGACTGTGCTTTGTGTTGTCTCCATGTTGGAGTGTCAACCAGTTAGCTGCTTTCATTGAATTGTTTATCATATCTATATATATATATTTTTTTTAATTTCACTGTTACTGTCAGTTCTGGTGTTTTGTGAAAACCCAAACGCGTATTAACGTTGTGGATTGTGTTTGTCGTTTGCCTTTAGCTTTTCTGTCATTCAGCCACTAGAGTGCACACTTTGATTGTGTCTGCGGGTGCTGCACAATTCACGTTTTTTCAATGCTGTAAAATAACCTCATATACACAAACAATCTGCCAACACTAGTCTGTTCAGTCGCAAAAGCTGAAGTTTGATTTGCATTTCACTGCACTCGTCCAACTTTTTGTCAGTGCTTCAGTTTTCTAAACAGTGCCAGTTAACTCCCGTGAAATTTAAACCTAATCCTTATTTATTCTTCGTTTGGATGTTTAACTTTTCAGTGAACCTCTTGAGTCTGTCTGGTGCTTCATCATTAGGGTGGAGGAGCAACACTGGCAGGCTGCAAAGGCACTGTTTAAACTCTTGGATTCGCAGTGTGAGGCCTGTCATGCTGCCCTGCATCTTTCATAAGAAAAACAAGTTAGTCAGACATCATCGACTATGTGTGCTCCCATTTTGTTGCCTACAATGTTGAAATATTTGCAACCAATCAGAGAAAGAAGGTTTTAGTCCTGAGTCAACAAAGCTGGGATGCTTTCAGAAGAAGTCTTGATGCTGCATGCTTCTACATCTGTGCCTAATCAGACCCGTGGCTCCAATCCCACAGTGCCAGATGAGTGGGATGTGGTGGACCTGCTGAATCACGGCACATACAAGATGGAAAAATATTTCCGCCTCTTTTTTTTATTTTATTTTATTTTTTTTATCACTAACCTGAATGGAAATCATGGTTCCATAAGCCATTTTTCATACCTGCTAATAGTCAGCTGTGCAACCTGAGCTTGCATTAGCTTTATTTTGCAGTGGAGAGGGAAGGACAAATACAAGACCCAAATTATATCACTCAGGAGCCCTTCAAAGGGTTAATTATGCAGAACACAGAAATCAGTCACATATCAGATATCCTGCTGGAGTGTCAAAGCATCTGGGTGCCCAGTGAGAATGAAGGGAAAAGAGCAGGATAGAAGTTTATAAATCTGTTTCCATTTGTACCTAGTGAGCCTGCTGGATTACAGCATTTTCCTCTTACTTTTACTCTCGCCTTCCCTCCCCCAACTCCGTTCTTCTCTTTCTCCCTCTCTCTGATGTCATTGTTTCCTGCCCAGCAGATCCTGACGCTCAGCTCAAGGCCGTGTGCACAGACGCTAAACATAATGTGCACTTCTCTGCTTATGCTGACATATGGGAATTTACAGACACATATTAAAGTGATGTCAGGTCCATTATCGCCCAGCTCTGTGAAGTGTCCGGGTTTCTCTGGCCTCCACTGCAGACATTAAACCATGTGTGAGTGCTACCTGTGTCCGCTCTGAACAGTTGTCCTCTGTAAGTCAAATTAAGGCCTTCTTGTGCTTGTGGTCACTCAGACTTCTTAAAAGAAAGCTGGAAGCATCCAATCTGATTTGGCGTCTCAACAGGCATCATGTGAGTGACATAAAGGGACTGGAGTCTTTATATACACACACATATTTTTCTTAGGCCTGTATTGTGTTTGTGTTTTTGTTTGTGGGTGTTTTTTTTTTTTTGCATCTTTTCATGCACACTTCTGTGCCTTTAGAATGTGGAAGAAGTATTCAGATCCTTTATTTAGGTATGAACAGCAGCAAAACTAATTTATTTATTGTATTTTATCATTTTTGCCTGTATTGGTCAGAGAAGAGAGGGGATATAAGTAGAAAGATGTGCAGTAAAGGACCAGACTGACTGAAAATCATGCTGGGAAATTTTCAAGTATTAGATGTAAAAATGCTCATTTTGCAAAAACAAAGACTCATGTCTGTCAATATTGAATTTAATTTAATTTAATCTAATTTAATTTAATTTAATTTAAGTAATGCACTTAAGTCGAGCTAAATATTCCACTTTTTACTTTTGACAATTACAGTTAGTTTATCTTATCTCTCCGTATTTTCAAGAAATTGGTTGATTAAAATTTGGGAACTTTAATATTTTCAACTTATTCACCGTAATTATACTGTGTCAGTTTAGTATTACAGTTTGACACACTTTGATTTTTTAGTGAGATTTTCTTGAGGGTAATAAGTTGTGTACTATTATGTACATTAAGGTCAGGCTGGTAAAAATGTAAGACTTCTAGAGTTATTGTAATATAGTGTATAAAAATATTAATAAGTGTAATTATTATGTATAATTTAAGAGAATTTTAATTTTATTACACAGTGGGTAAAGAATTGATATACATACCTATATTTAAAATTTAGATTTAGATTTAGAAATTTCCAATAGTTTTGGATACTCTGAAATTGTTCAGTTTTACAGTGCATCTAAAATTTTACACATACATACCAGGTACTTTAATCAATAACAGGGTATCATATTTTAAAAGCTGTTCCTAATTACTTGAAACTGATTTGATGTGAAATTATTTAGAAAGTAACTATAGCTATCAAATAAAAGTAGCAACACTTATCTACAAAAATAAGTAAAATGTGGAGAATTAAAAGTGTAATCACACAAAACCTTATGAATTTATTAAAGCCAAAGTAGCTCAGTGTGGAGCATTTGACTGAACAAATACACTTCTTCCGCTGCTGGCAATGTAAAGACAGAATCCTCCAGCTGAGAAGCTTCTTCCCGCCGTCACCAGATAAGAGACGTGTCAGCTCAGGAACTCGCCACTCTCTCTTTCTGTTCCTACATATGTTAAGAGTAAATCACTGATGTGATTCACATACTGTTTTCCACTGCTTTTATTGTATTGTGAAATGACTTTTATGAAAAAAGACAGACAAAAGTTCTCCCTTTATCTCCTGTGTGTGTGTCGTTGCCAGCTGAGCAGCCCTCTGTATGACCTTACTGTAGTCTGTATTATCTGCTGCATTCTTCACAGCGGTAGTCATGTCCCCCGTAGGAGTGGCTGCGTGTTGCAATAGCTTTCTTCAAATTGAATCCTCTACTGCCTAATTCCTTTAAAAACGTTTCAGTTTTACTGTCCTTCCAGTCTGAGATCTATGACCTGAATTGTTTTAACAGATTTTCATGCACTTGTGTGTTTGTGAGTCCGTCTTGTCCTCCCCCGGTCGCCTCACCAGAGAAAATCACGTTTATGACTCAGCCTGAGCAGAGTTAATAGGACTTCAGTGTGCTGCTTCATTCTAACATCAGACGTTTCAGGGTAATAAACCTCCTTTCATGGAGGAGTGCAGGTGACGGTGGAGTTTTTAGGAAAACTGGGGCAACAACTTGAGATGAGGTCATTGCATTTTGTACAAGTGTCTGCAGAAAAGGGCAAAAACTTTTCTCATGGACAGACTTTGCACTCCAGGTTTCTTCTTCCCAGCTTTAATTGCAATGCTTGTGAATGTGTTTCAAATTTAAAATGCATTAAAGTACAATCTGGTTTGGTTGAGAATTTGGACATTTCATTGAACAGTTTGTTGTTTCATGTCCAAGGTGCATCGGTTCTCACTGAGAAAGGCTGCTCTGGGGAGAAGTGGAAGTTTACCTCAACTAGGCTGGTGGCAAAATACACATGCAGCACTTGAGGGCCCTGACAGGCTCTCTAAACAGTGGACAGAGTTGGAGACGGATGGGGGGATGGCAAAGAAAACAGCAAATCTTTAAAGGTTATAATTCTGTCATCTGCTCAAACAATTCTCCCATCCAGCGTGTGCTCTCCTCCTTGGCCCCCCTCACCCGCCATAACTTTTTCTCCAGAAAGCGAACTACGTAACACTCTGAGGAAAGAACGACAGCGCGCCGCAGAGAAGAGATGGAAACCAAAAGTCCAACCAAAACAAGTCCTGGACTGAAAAAGAATTTATGTTTTACTCCTGCCTGTTTTCATTTGCTTTGAATTCCTCTGTTTGGTTTTGTTAACACACACACACACGAAATCCCCATCCTCCCCCCTTTTGCCCCGTTTCTCCTCCTCCTCCTCCTCCTCCTCCTCCTTCTGTGGAATTCAGTGTCTGAGGAGTCACTCCTCTCCCGCTGCTCTGCTCTGTGGTGAGTCTGCAGGGCGAAAGACCTCCACCAAGGAATTCACCAGGAGGTGCAGAGGAAAAGGAGTTGGCTTCCTTCTGTCACCCAGGAGGTGCTGCTGTCTGGGGCCTCCCTCACCCACCTCCTCCCCCATCTCCTGTCTGAGCACTGCACCTGTTCTGACTCGTCAGCCAGGTGAAGGGGATCCTCTGGCTGTTTTTTCAGCTGACCATAGCTGCAGGGCAATTAGGAACCCAGTCTATTCATTTGACTGGATTGCTGCTTTGCTTTGTATCTTTTTCTC